CTTTTAGTAATTGTTAGTTTGCTACTTCGAGATGCTTTATTGTTTTTATGTTTTTCTTTTTATTGCATTAAGGAACACATTAAATGTTCCTTAGACATGCATATAAAATTGGCTATTTACAATACTGAGTTTTTAAGGTAGTTTAATTTAGCTTGAGTTTTCCAAAAAGTAGTAAAATCGTAGTGTTCTTCACAATTCCTCTATTTCAGCGATGTGAAGTACCAACATAGCCCCTGTTATTTTGTCAATCTGGGTCAGAAAACAGGGTCCACATTTTGTTTCAGTATTTTTAGTCTGGCCCAGCTCATTCCACAGAAGCACTCATAATATTCTTAACAGAAATTTTATTAAATGATAATGCAAATACAAAGAATCCTCTACTCTAAGGAAACACAGAGTCCCACTAAAAACACAGTCACTGACACTTAAAAAATGCACACTCTATTAAATGATTATAGTTTTTCTTATTTATTTTCTCCAAACTAATTGTGGCTGAAAAGGTCAGGAAGAGTTAAGAAATGGTCAACAATCTGCTAGGAGTGGCGGCTCATGCCTGTACTCCCAGCGCTGTGGTAATCTCAGCATTTTGGAAGACCCAGGCAGGTGGATCAACAGAGGTCACCAGCCTGGGCAACATGATGAAACCCTGTATCTACTGAAAAAGCAAAACTTAGCTGGGCATGGTGGCATGCACCTATAATCCCAGCTACTAGGGAAACTGAGGTGGGAGAATCCCTTGAACCTGAGAGATGGAAGTTGCAGCAAGCCAAAATTGAGCCATTGCACTCCAACCTGGGCAACAGAGCAAGATTCTGTACCCTCACTCAAATAAAAAGAAAAAATGTCCAACAATCGTGAATGGGCAGTGGAATAACTAACTAACTAACGCATTTTCACTGGGTACCTATTGTATTTATCCCTGCATAGTTTATATTTGTAACAGTCCATATGGATTTCTTTTGTAAATGAAAATTGAAATGAATGTTTTTAAGTGCTGATTTTTTTTAGTTTTTTCATTCCACTTAAGAATACTCAGAATTGTTTACTCCCTTTAAAAAAGACACAAAGAGGAAAGATAAAGGAATCTGAATTTATACATGTTAAACCAAACACCCATTCCTTTAGCAAGCACATACTGAGTGATTACTATGTTTATTTTTAGTGCCTAAAAATTTGGTCAACAAGCCAAAGGCCCTGCATTCTTCTTGCAGCTTACATTATAGTTGGGAAGAAAAAACAACACACATGTAAATAAAAAGTTCAAGTTTTAAAAGGTTATGAAGAAAATAAAATTGGAGGCATGAAGAGTGACCAGAGGAGGTAGAGGTAAGGAGGAAAAGGGTTATCAGCAAATACCTCACTGAGAATGTCATGTTTGGGAAGACTCTTTGGTAATGTAACGAAATGACCAATAGAATAATCTCCAATAGGAGTGTTCCAGGGAGAAAAAAGTTCCACATACAAAAAAAAAGTTTCATGTATAAAATTGGCTTGAATAGCTATACAGTCATGGTAGTGAGACTTTTGTTGTTGTTGTTGTTATTGTTGCTTACCTGTTTTGTTCTGTTAATAAAGTCAATTTTCAGTATAATTATGTTCAAAAATAGACAGTCATCTTCAGGATGTTTCTGTTTATAGTTGATCATTTGCCAAACTTCCATTTTACATATTCCTGGCTATTAAACTCTAGAATCATATGATCATCTATGAAGTACAGTGAATGTGTGCTTGTCCTGAAGAAAATGTAGAGAAAGGAATTATCCCTCTGATGAGTTTAAGAAAATCCATGATGGCCACATATGTTAGATCATTTAGATTCAATCATTGTATAGATAGAAGGTACACCTCATAAGACCATTAGGTCATTTGCAGTCTACATATTGTGATTGCATATTTTAAAATGAGAGAAGGTGAAAATGTTTATCATATTGCTACTTGAGGTAGCTATATAAAAAGGAAGGAACAGCTCATCTTGAGGTTATAAATTTCTGAATATTTGTGAATTTATTTTCATTACTTTTATATACTTTCATCAACATAAGATGAAACTAATAATAAGACACGTGGAGTTTAGTGAGGTAAAATACTATATTATATTTTGAAGATGGACCCTGAATGTTTTGTAAACAGAAGCAAAATGGTAAGTTATAAAACTATTTAAAGCAGTTAATATTGCTATAAATGATACATATACAAACTATATACACACACCATATATATTAATAATAATACTTATATTGTGTTATATTTACTATATACTATGCCTATAAATTCTTAACATTTCGGCAACACAGGCAGATTATCCATACTTAAAATGCTAGCAAGCAAGGAGAATGACAATCAATGTTTCCAGTACTCAATAAGCTAATTTTCTTCCGCAATGGTGTACATTTTCACCAGGCCATGAAATTTCTTTTTCTAGGTCAATTTACTACAAGGGTCAATTTGCTATGAGAGTCAATTTAGCATGGATTTTTAGTTCTGGGAATGACTATATATTAAAAACTTTAGCTATTTTACCTAAATTTAGCATTTTAAAAGAGAAATATAAATGTTCTGGTGAACCATGTGAAATCCCAGGAAATTTATCCATAGTGATAAAAAGTGACAATTGTTTTCCCATTTTGCCATGATAAAAATTGTAGAGCGTTTACTTAGTCCCCCCCCAAAAAAAGCATAAACATCACAGTCATAATAAATTTCAATACTCTCAACTGTGATAGAAACAATCATAAAATAAAAACTAAATGTAGTCTCCTCTGTGATAACTACCTTAAAAACAAAACAAAACAGAAGGAACCTACTGTCTTTGGTAGTATTGAGAGAGGAGGAGGAGGTTGTCATCTTATTCTGTGATAACATAAATGAAGAGGACCAACATGTTCAAGGCAGAAAGAATAATTAGCTGTCTTTTATATAACACGTTAATTACTAATGAATGACTTATTGTAAGACATTAATTTTTCTTCATTTTAAAATTTGTTTCAAAACATTGGATTAAATATTTAAAAATACTTTTGCAATGAAGTGAAAGAGAATACGGGGATTATTTATAAAGAAAGTAAAGAAAATTTCTCAAACAGGTTTAATATTTCAAATTATTGGACATAGAGACGCATGGATACATGCCATCTTTTGGCAATTTATGAAGCTAATTAATTGTCTGATGATTCATGAGGGGTCAGTTAATTTCTACATTTACTGCCACATTGATGATACATGTAGACAATATAGCCTTAAACCTATGGAATGAAGATATTTAAAGATATTTTATTTTTAGAATTGTAAGTTTGAAAAATGTATTTATTCATACAAGTCTGCATAACATGTTGACAATGTAACATTTTTCTAAAATACTCAAAGATCTTACAACCATTAAGCACTGGCTATTTTTATATTAATTGAGCAATAGCATCTAATAATAGACTATTTGAAAAATAGAGCATTATCTGTTCTTTGTACATGAATCTGACATTATTTATCCAAATGACCAGAGTTTATGTTTTAGTGTTTTTGTCCCAGAAATGCAATCACTGCAAATTTCTCTTCTAGTCCCCTGGGTTTATGGGCTAAAGAGAGCCTTTAATCACAAGAAAGTTCATGACTCTCACTTAATCAAACTTTCAACTTTTTAAAAAACTTTCTAATTAAATTAATTAACTTGTTCATAGCTTACTTTTGTGTTGAGAAGGAGACGCCTGGGGTTTCTGAAAATAGTAATTTACCAAAAATCCCCTAGGCCTTTTAGGCTCTTCCATTTCACAGATTGCCCACTGAAATTATTCCTGGGGGCGAATATGTGGCAAAACGTGTTAAAGACCAGAGCTTCTCAAACCTTGTGTGTGTATAAATCACTACAAATCTTGGTACAATGAAGATTCTGATTCCATAGGTATGGGGCAGGGCTGAGATTCTGCTGTTCTAATAATTTCTTAAGGGGCTGCTGATCTGAGTACCACATATTTAGGGGCAAGGCTATAGATTATGTAAGGGTACAAATCCAAATTGCTGTCACAGTTATAAACAAGACTCATAAGAAGACATTGTTTCAGAGTATTGATTACAAATCCCGATATATTCATGCTCAAATGGGTATTTTCTTTAACAGAACCAACTTAAAGTTTTTTGGGTTTTTTCCCCCTATTTCTCAATGTAGCTTTATACGTAATTAAGTCCAGTTCCTTCATATAATAGTTGAGGCCACTGAGGGTCGAGAAAGTTGAATACACGCCCAAGGTCATAGAGCTAGAAGCAGGGTGTGCGCTGGATCCGGAAACTCTTACTACCATTTCAATAAAGAAACCTTAACTTCTTTGGCATTTTCATTTGTTATATTCTCCCTGACACAAAACCTAAGCTTGAGTCAATAATGATTAGAATTTCACCTTTTGATCCTCACAATAGTTTAAATGATAGCAGTATCTGTGGGCTCACTGAATTTCCTAACAGCTAAAACTCACAGTAGGCAACTGTCTCCTACAATAACACGGGTATTCACACATCTTTCTTCAAGAATGTGCTTGCAGTTTTATTATGGACATTTAGTTCCTTAATTTTGAGAACCTGGGGAGAAAGGTGGGCAGAGAAATGAATGGGTCATTAGTTAAAAGTCAAGGGTTGAATTTGCAAAAGGTTGTGGCAAAGTAAGCCACAAATGGGAAAGAGTGAAAGGCACCAATATTGATCTTGCCTCTCATCTTTCCCTCTGTCTTCTTGCTTGCAGGTTTCTATTGTGTAGTCTCTCAAACAAAGCCGACTTTATTTATGGTGTGACTGATTTAACACTACTGAACCAGTCCATCATCTGCTAATTTGGTCCAATTAAAAACTGGTCACAGGGCAAACCCTGGGAATTAAGCTCATTTAGAAACACAACTTCTGATTCATTTATGTCTAGCTCATTTATATCTCCTCTTCTAAAGGACACATTTCAGGGTGTTGATTTAAAGAGGTGGTTCTTTCTAGCTTCTGAGATTCTATGACCCCTTTTGGTTGCGTCCATGAAGAAAGTGCACTTCTGCTTCTCTTCCTTCCTAAGGCTATTGTTAAAAAAATTTAAAGAGGCTTGCCTGAGATTTCCTGCCATCCAGAATTAGAAAAATCCCTCTAAACAGCTAGAGTCACCATTTATAAAGTACGTACGCATTGCATGGACTTACCCTAACATGATTGCTTTCTGACTTAATCCTTACAACTCTCACAGTTAAGTACTATTATCCCCGTTTTGCAGTTGAGGAGGCTTTAGATTCAAACTTTCAAGTAAATCATGAAATATTATGAAACAAGAAGCGACAGCTATGATATTTGAACCAAGGGCTCCCTGATGTCAGTGTCAGCACTTCTACCCACCAAGCTCTACTGATATTTATACCTAGACCAAATATAAACTCTGAACAACAACAGCAACAACAAAATTTATTTCCTCCACTTCTTTTTCCTTCTTTGCAACACAAGTTCTTGTAGGCAGGTAGGTGTTCCACTCCCTATATTTAGCCTCTCCCACGCCCTCTGCAATTTTTCCCTTTTGCTGCTGGAAGCGTCAGAGATTGCTATTGCAGCTGGTGAGTGGGCAGGTGCAGCCACCATCTGCTCCAGGAGTCCAAATGCGCAGAAGAACCTCGCACCCAGGACCTGGCCCAGGCACCACGAATTCCAGAACTTGCTGGGGACATGGCTAACCCCGCCCCCTCGCGGTGGCGATTGGCTGAACCCTGCCGGAGTGCTCGGCTCTGATTAACGAAGGCTGCTGTCTCCCCTGCAAGTTCGGGCGAGACGTCTCTAAGGAGGTGAGAGCCGCCGGGGGTGAGTGAATGGGGGCTTCAGTTCTTCCTGCCCGAAGGGTCCTTGAGAAGCCTGTTTGTTTTTCCCGGCGCTTGTCTCCACCCATCCCCTTCTCTCATTGGTCGGGCCTGGTGGGCGGCTGTGTTTCCATTGGCCAGGGGGCGGTGTCTGTCCCTGGCTGGGGTGGGGGCGGGGCCTCCGTCGCGCTGAGCTTGCCCTTGTGTCTGGTACTCCGTAGAGCTGCCGCCGCCGCTGCCGCCGCCGCCGCCGCCGCTGCCGCTGCTGCCACAGCCACCGCCGCAGCCGGAGCATCCGGGAGCCGCCGCTGCCGCCGCTACCGCCGCTACCGCCACTAGCGCTGCTTCCACCGCTGCTGTCTCCCCTCCCAGGACCAGGAGACACCCCGGGCGCGAGCGGCGGCGCTGCTGGCTTGCCCCGCTCCCCGCCAGCCCTTCCCCTCCTGACCTGCCCGCTCCTTGGCGCCCTCGCCCGCACCTTCTCCGACACCCCGGCATCCCTGCATCACCTGCTCGGGCAGCCCCGGCGGGCGCTGGGACTTGCCGTGAGCGCCGAGAGGAAGGCAAGCCCTGAACCCCCGCCTGGCAGACGGGCTGTCACGGCTGCACCAGCGGGAGGAGGCGGAGGAGAAGAAACTATTTCGCCCACCGATACCCCGTTCTGCGGGCGCTTCGCCGCTGCCGCTTCTGCTGCCGCCGATCCCTGTCCGCGGGTTCGAACACCGCAGCGTCGGGGACGGTGGGTCCGGCGGGCGCCGGGAGGAGGACACCAGCGGAGCCCTGCACTCTCGCGCCCCGCTCGCCAGCATCTCCTTGCCCCGTCGCTCCTTCCCCAGCCCTTTAGAGAGGGGACCATGATTTGGAAACGCAGCGCCGTTCTCCGCTTCTACAGTGTCTGCGGGCTCCTGCTACAAGGTAATCCCCGCCCCGCCGCGGGGAGCATCAACTTCTCGCCCATTCCTCATCTTCCCCATTCCACCCCATATTTCCACTCTCCCCCTCCCAGTCCCCCGGTCCCCAGCGATTTCCACCCCCTCCCCCTACTCTCCGGTGCGGCAGGGGGCAGTGGCAGTTTGCACCAGCCCCTCGAATTTCTGAGGCTGGCTCAGCCCTGCCTTCCCAGCAGTCAGCCCCTTTCGCGGCACCTTTCGCCTTTTCATTCACCTGAGCTTCCTTCATCTCACTCCCTCCCCGCCAGCATCCGCCTCCCACGCCTTTTGGCTGGCAACTTGTGCCTCTCTGAACATTCCACGCTCGCGACAACCCCCACCAGCCACCTCCCACATCACGCTCTTGACCGACCCTCTCCATCTCTTGCCATCTCTCTAACCTCCCCCTTTTCGGGTCGTCTTTTCTTTTCCCCTCTTCCCACCATCATCACATCCGTGTGTCTTTAAAAAGTGTGTGAGAGCCTGGGAGCGAGCTACCAAGACGTGGAGAACAGCAGCAGCGGCAGCACCGTGTGCATTGCAATAACATCCCCGGGGGGGACATGTGTTGTGAGACGTGTCATTCACCTAGGAAGAGACAGGAGACTCTGTCTGGGATTTAAAAAAAGAAAGAAAGAACGAAAAAAAGAATAAGAAAAAAAATGAATGAATGACTAAACCAAGAAATTAAAAAAGGGGAGAAAAGGAAAAAAAAAATTAAAAGACCCAAACCCACTTTATCAACACATCGACTTTTTATTATTCAGTCTGTGTCTTGTCTTTTTTTTTTTTAACCAAAGAAATATATGCTCCCTAGCAGTTACTTTACTGCTAAGAGATTTTCACTTAGATTTCATACCTCTCCATCCTCTCTCTGCCGCTTCTTTCCGTAATTAATATTATCCTTTCACGTGAAATTTAAGAACCCCTGTGACCGCAGTGGAGGGAAACCGCACAAAACGCTGTTATTATGCAAATCACTGGTTTTGGATGCCAGGTGGCTAGGGAATCTGGGTTCACTTTTCTCCAGACCCTCTTTTTTGGAGGAGGGAGGGAGGGAGCTGTGTGGAATGGGAGGACGGTGCTGATTATGAAATAAATGGCAATGCATAGTATAGGAGTGCATGGAGAGAGGACACTTTGGGTGGTGGAGGAGGCAGAGGCGGCGGCGTTCTAGGGCTGGGTGGGCAGGGGCTGTAAGGCGGAAGATTGTTGCTTTGAAGAGAATAGTATAGGGATGTGGCTTGAGTGTGAGATATAGCGAGGATGGATGGTAAACGATGGTTGATAGAATATTTTTAAAGCTAGGTGACTAGGTTTTTTTTTTTTTTTTTTTTTTTTTTTTTTTTTTTTTTTTTTTTTTTTTCTGTGCCTGCCTCTAACCCTTCTCTCATTATTTGCGTATTTGCAGGAAAGATAAGTTGATCAAATTAATTTTTCCCTGGGTAAAAGGGATCTGAAAGTAAGACACACGTAGACTCACTGGCGTGCAAAACCCAATCCGCCTTTGGAGGATTTAAATGAGGTCAATGAACCATCTTTCAGCAAGTTCTTGGAATGCATCCTCTCTCCTGCCCTCCTCCGGGATATAGACTGGGGACCGAATTTTATTTATGCATATTTATGAATGTGAAACAAGAGGCAGTGGGCAGAATTTTCCTGAATTAACTAACTGACCTTATAGAGATATTTCATAGAATATTTTTGTGGTACTTTTGTGTATTTTACATTGGGTATAAATTTCAGATATGTCATGTGTGCCAGAATCTCCGTGACAGCAGACAGCACATTCTTTATGCTTACGCCTCCTGGTCCCATTCTCACCGTTCACACACCCATCCTCACACAAGTAACTCGGGTGTCTGACACGTTACTTAGGTTTTTAATCTGCGCTGAGGCAATCTCCCAGAGACCCTACTTCACCTCTCAGTAACTTGCATTTCTCAACTGTGCTGTGTGTGTGTGTGTGTGTGTGTGTGCGCGCGCACGCGCGCGCGCGCGCGTGCGCCGTGTTGGGGGAGTGTGATGTGGGGAAATCAGTTAATTTGGTGATTGCGATGAAAATTCGACACCGCCAGATGTATTTTCCCTACCAATCTGTGTGTGCTGGCCCCGGCCAGTCAATGCACACACTACTGGGCTGCTGCGAAATTATTTATTATAGAGCCTGTGGGCCATGGACTGCACTTGGGGTCGCCTCCTCTCTTCCTTCAACATTTCCCTGTGAATTGTCTATTCAGTGCAGTGCAAAATAACTGTTTGCTGGTGCCTCTCTCTCAGTCTGGAGGAGGATTTACTCTTTCTCTACCCGGATAGATTCCATCAGCAGCATTCAGGCATGGGTCTCTTTTATTGAGTATGTAAACCAGAGATTAAGACAGTGCTGCTTTTCACAGCAGACTGGGGTGGGGGGCGGTGCAGGGAAGGGGTGTGAGTATAGCAGGGAAAATGCACCACTGCAACCAGCAGCAACACCAGCATTAGGTCCAATAAATAAATAAATAAGCGTCCTATACAGCAACCAGGGAAAGAGCACTAGTCCAACCATGTCTGTGGACTTAGGAGCATCTTAGATCAGGTCATGTGAATACACTAAAAGAGATAAGAGGATTACAAAAAAAAAAAAAAAGGAGGGGGCACAAAGCACTATAGGATTGTCTTCTCATGTTTATGGCTTCCTCACATTTATTCATCAAACACTGCTCCACAGACACATCATACTTTGTTGATATTGTCAGTTTTTGCTCAAACAAATTGCTCATGCCTTCCTTGTGTTAGGCTTGGCTGAAAACATTGCTTCGGGGTTCAGATTTATGTTTCTCCCACTACCCTACCATTTTATTAGGACTTGGTTAGGTTGTAAAATGAAGGCTTTATTTCCTGGACATAGATTAAATACTTAGCAGGTCTTTCCTTTCTATGTCCAGGGAGAACAGGGTGGCAGGGGAACTAGTTAGCGACTGATTTTGGCTAGAGGGAGTCTGCCCTGCCTGCTAGTAGTTATGACTAGGCAAATACTATAGTCAGTCAATAGCTCCTTTTTTTAGCTTTATCAGCAGTATAGTGATATTCACTTAAGTAATACTAATCAGTTTATTTATCACATATATTACTATACTCTTTCTTGCAGTATACATTATTTAAAGACAAGAAGACTCATTGGAACATATCTTCTCCATGTTTCTGTGTTTTAACTGACTGTATTTTTTATTGCCACCTTTATGTATTTTTCTGGGAAGAAAAATCAATTTTCTGGTTTGTTAGTATGTGGGGTGATAAGCCGGTGGTGAGAAGTCAATGATAAAATGAGTTTTCTTTTTTTCTTTTTTTAAGGCTTACTTAATTCTGTAACATCTGCCAGTTTGTTTGTCCTCATCCTCATCCTGCCTTTAGGAAATGAATAATAGTTAAACAGAAAATAAACATATGTTTTTGGCCAAAAATTTGTTTGGCCAAAGTATAACTTGTATACCAGGCTGCTTAAATAGCAAAATTTGATTTCGCGTTGACAATGCATCATTTCTTAATTTCCTTCATTATAAAAAGAGGAAAATCTGGAGTAAGGGCAAGGGACACATTAGAGAAATGAATTTCTTTGCAAGGATTGTGAAAGCTTGCCACCTGTAACTAAGTCCTCTCCTGGCTATAGAGCAGATCCAGTTCAATTGCTAACCCTTGCTGAAAGCTTATCCCTTTCCATGCCTGAGGGGGCACTGCAAAGATAGAGTGCCCTGGGCAGCATAGGAACCAATTCTGGAAAGGGCAATAAAGAAACAAGTGCAAACTATAACAGGAAATAATCATGCATACATGCATACAAGACCTGATTTTGTTGAGAACTGTGTTTACTTTTTGGAATTAGTCGCATACAAAAACACCTCCAACACAGATACTGGGGATTTAGTTTGTGTGTGTGTGTGTGGGGGGGGTCCTTTTCCCATGGGGTATTTTTGTAAATGATTTGTTATATTTAGTAAAAAATATATTCAAATTAAACCTCATTGGACATACATATTACTTGCCTCAGTACGTGTCATGAACCTCACCTTACAATTTTAAAAAGCACATTATAATACGTATTATACTTATATACACTTAATGAAATACCTGTGCTTCCTGAAAGCATGTCTATCCAACTCTTTTACCTTTACATGTATTAACTTTAGTCTTGTCAAGCTCATTTCTTATGCCAAATGCAGTTCTCAAATATAGTTCACTCACTCCCTCTTTTGATTAACAGAAACTGAAAATTGGAGCCTATGTACTTAAATGCCAACAACTGTGGCTTAAATGGTCAAACATCAGACAACTGGTAATTAGGAAAATCTTCTTTGCAAATATGAGGAGTGTCTAGACTAGTTTTCTATCAAGATGTGGAAGCTGACTTCATTGTCTTTTTCCCATTTCTGTAACTATTAGAACTCTAGAAACATAATATGACAAAGCTAAATACCAACTGAAATGATAAAATGGTCTGTTCTTGTGTCCTTCACCAGAAGATAAGACACTTGAAAACTATTTGTCACACAATTGAATAGTGGTAGAATGGCATTTTTCTTAAAGAAAAGAATGACTTAAATCACTTAAAGAGCAAACTGGAAGTGCAAAAATGTTGGAAGACATCCTAAGCATGCATGTGAAGGTGGCCATGAGTCAATACCAAATGACATCAGTTTCCTCTTTAAGTAGTCTGTGGGATATCAATGGTTGAGACAAGTAAACCTTATTTACTATGAAAGATTTGGAGGTACATTAATAATAGAATATAGACCTAATGTCACATAGATGTTTTATTTGATCTCACTGACATACACTCTATGATATTTATTGAGAAATAGTCCTCATCTTATTAGACTTTATTAAATCCATTGGCTAAGTCACCCATTCTATAGCAGCTTGAGTAGATTGAGGAAGCAAAGAGAAGGAAAATCACAAACCAAGGAAGCAGACTCAAAAACTGAAGTCAGGAGCCCTTTGTTCAATTGG